TTGAATGTATCATATCATGGGCAGATGATCCACTTATCTGACCAGGTTGATAAGAGAGGTTGCTCACAGAAGAGTGTGTGTCCTTGGGAATGGCAGGGAGAGGTTGGGGGAGCTGGAGGAAGTCAAGGTAGAAAACGTGCTTTGGCACAACGGATGCTGAAATGGAGATGCAGGTCCCAGTTCTGAGACCTTTTGTCATCAGGGACTGTCAGCATGAGGAAAGATGACAGGGTTGGGTTTCCATAAAAACAAATTTGTGATTTGTTTGAGCATCTCTGGAAGGGAGTGTGCTTTAACTGTGTCGAGCAGTCAGAACGTTGATAATTGCTTTTTGTTAATGATGCTTTCTCATCCCATGCCAGATAACCGATTCCAACTAGTAAGAAGAGGGGTCTTCCTCTTCAACTAGACAGAGGCAAATCACGTAAATCATACTACGGCTTGATTGCAGGAGTTGGGAGCAATGATGTAGTCTCCAAGATTGCTTATTTCCATCAATACTTCAATCTCGCTGTTGAAGGCTTACACTGAGTTTTAGATTGCTTATTTCCATCAATACTTCAATCTCACTGTTCAAGGCTTACACTGAGTTTGTTAGATGGACCTGATTTTCCCAGGTAGGCATTGCTTTTTTCTAGGTTGTTTCCAACACTTGTAGTCACGATAGTGAGCATACTAAGTCTTAAATACTGTTAATTTTTTTCTAATGCTATGGGAAATGTTTCCTAACAGGGCACTTGCTGATATCCTTCTAAGTGTATCTGGCTTCACTGTCCTTATTGTCCTTGTCAAGGCATATTTGGCAAGAGCCAGATACCCTCAAAATACTTTTCTCTCTGTTATTCAGAAAGTCAGTATCAACAACAAAACTGCTCGTGCATACTGAGAAACAGAAGCTTTGTAGGCAGAAATCCACATTTCCTCTACTCTACCAACATAAGCCAGGAATCATACCACTGACCTCACCAGCATTACTTCAGACTCACACTGCAAAAATGGAGAGCAGACTCTAGAACGCCAGTTAGAGGGCTACTCTACCAACATAAGCCAGGAATCATACCACAGACTCTAGAACGCCAGTTAGAGGGCACTTTTAGGGCACAACAGAGGGCTTTTTTAGCAATTGCATTCTATAATCCAAGAGAAGTCTGCGAAAATAGACATCAAAAGATGCAGCCATTATTTCAGCCTTTGCATGGACCATGTCATGTGTTTTTGAGACGTAGAAAACTTGTGGTGAGATGATCTTATCAAGCTATCGTTTTGGCCTGTCTGCTTAGCAATATTATTCAAGAATAACTTAATCATAATGAAAACTATTCTGCTACATTGCAATGGCCCACTGAGTCCCTAGGGCTTTTAAGTGACCCATAAGTGGTCATTTAAAACTGGGATAGCTTTAAAATGTATTTATTTTCTCAAAAGAAGATAAAAAAAAAAAACCTAGGAATAAGAATTTCTGAAGTCTCCCAGCAGACTTCCATAGCAGGCTGCTAAATTTGCTTTGACAAGCTAGACTGGACTGGTGGGTGATAGCTGCAGATTTCTGTAATTTTTGGTGGCTTTTTAGTGGTATCGCTGTGGGGAAATTGTGAATTAAGTCTCCTCGATGAGGCATATAAAAGGGGTCTGGGTCCCTGTCTCTGAGCTGTGTTGGCTCTGCAGGGTAAAGTGGAATCAAAAGCAGAAGGAAATCTTTTTATTGGAATAGTGGAAATGTCTCAGAAATACCAAACAGATGTGCTGGATAAAATGGTGATCATATTTGCAGTCATTTTTTAAGGACAGAAACATGCTATTTTTACTATGCAAGATATGAGACAAATATAGGGATTTTTTTTTTTTATTAATTAATATAGTTTTGAAACTGGCCTGATCCCGTTGTGGTGATCTCTTTGAATTGTACTCTGGCTACTATATATTCTTATGTTAAATGTCACTGCTCACTGAATGTTAATTACAGCTAACACAGGGGACAAATGCTATCTTGGCACAAAATGAGTGGAAAACTCATGATTTACCACATTTCACTCAATATAAGAAAACATTAAATTGTGTGTGTTTCAGGTGAGCAGTGAAAGGAAGAATGGAGTATCTGAGACTGTTTTGATTAAATATTGGAGCATATGTTGGGTTTTTAGGGGAGAGGTGAAGTTAAATTTGCAGATGCTGAAAGAAAAGGCTGGGGAGAACTATTGAAAGAGTGACAGGGAAGGTCACTTAGGAAAGGGAAGGGAGATTTTCATCTGGAGAAGAGAGCAGAGAAGAAAAATGAGAAAAAAAGAGCAGTGTTTGAACAAAGATGGAAAGTGAGTGGCATAGGTGCCTCTTGCTTTGCTTTGGGAGAAGCTGGGAGAAAGGCATGTGGTGAGGGAGATGCTGAAGTTGTAGTGGAGCAAGAGAAAAGTCCCATGAGGAATAGCCCATGGGTCAAGATTACTGTGGGAGAAGAACACAGGAGCTCACAGACAAGCGTCTCACCAGGGTGGCTAGATGTCTCTGAGCCACGATGCCTTTTTGCAAAAAAAACCTGCAAGTCCTTTAAGATAAGGCTTCATATGGGTGAATCGTGCTATTTCCAAAAGAGCAGAAATTTCTCCAAGAACCTGATATTTGAGCATACAGGTCCAAGTATTTTTGCTATTATGCCATGTTTCTGATCAACAAGAACGTTGCACGTTTTTTTTTCGGGCAGGGAAGGCAGTTTGTACTTCAAGCAGCACTAAGCTCTATAATCTTGAAGTGGTATGTGACCTGCAGGAGCTTTAAACTGCTCCTGGAAAGTGTGGGAGCATAAAAGTAGATTTCTTTCTTTTTTTTTTGTTCTTTCTCTGTGGCTAGATAGGGGAGGATATTCAGTAAAGTCCAACAGCATATTTTATTTTATTATAAACTGGATGTGGCCCATTGTTCATTTGTGTTGGGTTGTGTGACTTTTTGCTGCTCTCTCATTGGAAGTTTTTTTACAGCTGTGTGAACAATTGGATTTATTGTTATCGTAGTGTCTGGTGCTGATGCCAAATCAAAATCAACATGGAGAAAAAGTTTTGGGTCAACCCAAACCCATTGGTATATCTCTAACATGTAAGAGGATCGGAGAAGAAAACACAACTGGTTTACTAAGATGGAAACCAACTCCTCTCTTTTTTTCAGGCAATATTACTGAGTCCTGGTTACATCACATGCAGGGCTTGATGTCTTATTTTGCTGACTTTGTAGAACAACTCATAATCTAAATTGGGAATTGTAAGAACTGCAGAAGCAGAGGGCTCTGACGGGTCTGTTAGGAATACATCTAGTGACTGGTGCAGCTACTAATGGCCAGGGAACCCAAACTCACCTGGGAGGCACTCTAAGTCAGCTGATTTCGGTTGAACACACCCCTACAAAATCCTTTTGTGAATCTAACATGAATAAGGTGTGCCATCTGGAAATGCTATAATGAAACATTTGAATAATTAAACATTATTGCTTTGTTTATTCTCAAATGTTTTCTTAGGCTACTGTTTTTCTCTGAATTCACAAGTACTTTCAGGATCAAATAAATGCACTCTAGATAAGTAAACCACGTGCAAAAGTAAATTAAATTTTAAAAAAAGAAACGCAGCTTCCGTTTTTCCTGCTTCCATATTGCTAGCTTGAACAAAATCCTCCCTCCTTCCTGCCTTTCATTGACAATTTTCTCCTTCTTTTTAATGATCATTTGGTGAGATTAGGGACAGATTCTGGAACAGAGTGGTTTCCCTTTCTGTAGTTATTACCCACTTTGCTCCCGAGGTGCCAGGACATGGTGTAAAGCACCATTCAGCGGATGGACAAAAGATGTCAGAACTGAATATAAAACCTGAATAGGAAAAGTTTGGAAAACTTCATCTGTCATCTTAAACCCAATTCCTCACAAAGGCTTTCCAAAGCAAGCGCTGGATTTGCACTTCATTTCAAGGCGTTCAGGTTTTACAGCGTTTTGTTCCAGAGAAGCCAGCCCATTTTGCCACCTGATCTCTCCCTCTCCAGACCTATTTTATGCAGCCTAAGCAGCTGTTGGTCTTGTGTGTGTTGCAATTTTACGTTGCTCAGGCTGTTTTCTGGTGCAGCCACCCTGTGTTCCCCCGGTGCAGATGGGCTGTGCACGTATAAACACTCCCAGATTTTCTGCTTCTGCTCCTTTTTAGTGCTTTCAGTAAAGGTTCTGCAGGCTGAAGCTATGCCTTTCCTTTCTGCAGAAGGGAATACTTCGTGCTGTGTTTATTTGGAAGGGAAAAATCAGAACTGAGTCTTTGGGATAAATGAGCACACTCTTGGATTCACGGCCCTGATCAACTGCAGTTGATGGGGACTGTTTTATTGATGAGGGTAGTTCCACATAAGGGGGATTCCTTCACACGGAAGGAATTTTAGAGCTTTAATGTGTTCCTGCAGGCTATGGATTCTTAATCTTGTCTTGTCAACAGGGGGTAGTTCTTCTGTCTTCCTTCTGTCTGCTATGTAGAACAGGGTACAAGCTAACCTCTGGCTGCAGGTGTTGGGGCACAGTAACGTTCTGGGTAAGGCTAAGATTTAGCAAGTTATGCAAAAAAATGAGGTTTCAATTCTGATCTCATGCTCTGGAGTAAATTCGAGTTACTTCATCAGAGCTGACCAATTCAGAAACTGATGCTCCAGTCTTTTTTTACTGCAAATAGAATTAATTTACCCTTTCTGTTCAACAGCATTACATCTGCAGTTTCCAAGCTCTATTTACAAGAAGGTAGGGAAATTAAAATTCATATCTAAATACACTAGGTCTTTCTTTATGCAGTATTTGCACATGTATAATTTTTAAGTCTTAAGTTACAGTTAGCAGTAGCCAGGTGAGTACTGAGTCTCAAGGATACCTTGCTTTGGGATATTCCATAAGCGATCAAAGTTCACACTTAGCTCAGACGACAGGGCACGTGCAAAACACTAAGCAGCAGATCCCCAAAGAATCCTACAGTTAGGTGTAAACATTCATAATTAGGTATATTTGGAATTACCAAACCTTTATTAAACAGGCATTGGTCACCACTTGCTTTGGATCTACTATGTCCACCAAAGGCTCCTTCATGGCAACATCCCTTATACAGGTCATGTCAAAGCCGTACACATTCTCCCACCCTGTCAATGCAAATGGATATATCAAAGATTAGCAGTAATAACATTTTTTTTGTTGTTTCTCAAAGCATCTTTCATTTGAAAGAATTTCTACCATGCCCTAACTTTCAGTGCTCCTTTGCTCTCTGCCCCAGTTTTCTGTTATCATTGCTGTTGTACAAATAATGCAGCTGCAGCACAAGAAATCCCCAATGTACATCTTCAAACAAGTGGCCCTTGTTTTTCTGGTGTCCCTAAAACTGGGTTATATGAGACTTGTCAATGATTATCATAGCTTTAGACATTTGAGTGTGTTGCACAAAATCATATAATATGTCAGGTTGAGACTTGGGAATAGCTGCTATGATTATTCTGTCTTTTCCTATCCATTCTGGTTAATATTTCCCTTTTTTTATATAGATTGCTATTCCATCAGCAGTTTGCATGCTCTTTGAATTATTTTGGTAGTCTTAGTTTTAGCAAGTGAATTACTGACAGGAGTAGAATTACAGATGTGTTTCAATATATTGGGCATCCTAGTTTTAATCTGCATGTACATCATGACAAAAAAGCAAAATGTCCACTTTGAAAAAGATTTAAAAGCCATGCTGATCTTTTATATTTGAATTGTTCTTCTGATTGTTCCACTAAATGCTTCTTATCTTGCTCAGGGCTTTTTTCTTTTTTTTTTTTTTCTTGAACAAAATGAACACATTGACACATGGGCTTTGCTTTTAAGATTGCTTAACAAAAGTAGTCTTACAAATCTTATGAGACAAGGTCCATTCGGTGCTCCATAGAATCACAGAATCATAAAATGGTTCAGCTTGGAAGTGACCATAAAGATCATCCAGTTCCAACCCCCCTGCCATGGGCAGGGACACCCTCCACTACACCAGGTTGCCCAAAGCCTCATCCAGCCTGGCCTGGAACACTTCCAGGGAGGGGGCAGCCACAGCTTCTCTGGGCAACCTGTGCCAGTGCCTCACCACCCTCAATGTAAAAATTTATTCCTTGTATCTAGTTGAAAACAGTTTTACAATTTATTTGCATCTTATTGATTTTTCTGTTCTTGTTACTTTAAAAACAAAAACCAGCAGTTGTATGGAGAGAGAATGTTACCAATTTTAATAGCATTTATGTGGGATGACGTATTTATCAAAACAACAGAACTAAATCTCCTAAAATCCACGTTTTAAAATAGAGGTAGAGATATCAGTAAAGCTCTAAGCAAGGTCTACATCAGTCTGTTTGTGTATCTTTCCTTTAAGTTCCTCTAATTTTCCTTTAAGTCACTTTAAGTTTTCTGAATAATTTATCACCAGACTAAAATTTTCTCAGCGTTCATGTTTATATTGGGATTTCGGTCCCGTCAGTGCGATTTCTTGGCTTCTGCAAAATTTTGCTGATAAAGAGATTACAGCAGGCCACTATAAATCAAATATTTTAGGGAAATAACCATAGAAAAGGGTTACTGTTAGGCATTTACTCACAGTGAATTTTGAAGTCCTTGTACTGTCTGTCTTCAATTGCTACCACGTACAAAGCAGCTCGGTCTGGAAACATTAGCCCTCCAGGTTTCTGTTGATGAATTGTGGGGAAATGGATCTCGTAATCTATTCACCTGACAAAGACATCACATTTTGAACTGCACATACAAAAACCAGACAAGCACCCCTTGCATGCCTTTATTGTTTTCCTTCAGATTGTCACATCAGCTTGGACCTCAGCAGCTCTTGCAGCCTGTGGCAATGTCATTGGATGGGGTCTGAAGGGGTTTCACCAGCAGTTAGTCAAAAGCAAAGCTCTTTCACCGAGATTCTCTTTGTTAATTTTTTCATTAAAGCCTAAAAAATGGCACTTGGAGATGCGACTGTGACGCGTTACGGTGACAGTAGGAGAGGCAAGGCTTGTAGCCAGAAAATAAATGACGACTTCTCCAGCAAGAAGTAGGACGTGCAGAGCACCTACCAGCCACTTGTCTCGTGCGAAGATGACTGTGTTTAACATGGACTCATAGAACAGACAGTAACCCATCCACTCGCTGATGATGATGTCTACTTTATCCACAGGTAATTCAACTTCTTCCACTTTACCTTTAAATATTGTGATTACTGAAAAAAGAATCCAAAGAAACATGTTTCACATAATAATACACCTGACGAAGGTCCTGACTGGTGAGGGTCAGACTGACCTGTCCAGTTTGATTCTCTTGGTGAATGCCTCTAGATGCGGGGTGACTCCATGCCACTCCATGGATTTTACACTCGTTTAAATCTACTTGCAGTAAGTATGGTAAAGAGGAGCTTTACTATCAGTATAAAAGGAAAAAAACAAAATAAAACAAACCCAAAACCACAACCCAAACCAAACAAAGCCCATGTGTAAAAAAACAACAGAAAAACAGGCCTTACCTGTTGAAACATTCCTTACCCTTTGGAATTTGGGAGAGTTCTAGTTCACTGACCAAGTAATGCAAAGGTTCTACCTAGAATCCTTTAAACAACACTCTAGGGTTCTACATCCCTGATCTCATCTCTGAGGTATTAGAGATTTAGGGAATTAGGATCTAATTCTCATCTGCTTTCCAAACATATTATGCTGGCCTCACAATGAGGAAACTAAGGCTTGCTTCTTCCATGAATTCTGAGGAGCTGACTCAACTTGGATCTAGCCTACAAACAATACGCTTTGTACAAACACAGTTCTCTCATGAAAAATCATTTTTCATTCCTTTCTGCTCCATGATTGAACCTTTTGTAACATACTGGGATTGTCACTCTGAAACTTCTGTCTGGTTTAGACTGGTTGTCTACAGTGAGTGCTGGAAAACACTGCTGTCAGGTATTTTGTCAGGGAAATTAAAAAGGTTGCTAGAAGTTTGGAGGAGTAGAATATCGGATGCTCAGAGACACTATTACAACCCAGAGCACTAAATTACCAGCAGTGTTAGGGATGCACTGCCAAAGCCAATCAACAGGCAATTAACAGAACTGGTTGATACTAGAGCACACTTTGCTTGAAGGAAAATTAAATGCTGGTCCGTATTTAGTTCAGCTGTAACAAACCATTTCATTTTAGGATCACTACACAATTCACCAATCGCTCTTGCATTTTTTCTATATATTTCCTATTTGCTAATGCCTTCCAATTTCTTTAGACAAATAATTTTCAGCTTGTGTTTGTTTGCTGTCTGTGTTGTTTGTTGCAGTGGGTGAAGTCTCATGGTTCTGGGTTCTTCCTTGTCAAGGGAACTGATGCACTTGAAATTCAGGAATAAAGCGCGTCAGGAATATTTTACTTTCCATTACTAATTTATAAGATTACTGTATTGCACTTTCAAGGTTTTTTTTTCCTATAATACTTATATTATTATTATTCTGAGAATTGATTTCTGTTATTCTGAGAATTGAATATTTGCATTTCTGCAAGTGTATACTTCAATATGGTTTTTATTTTTTTTTTAAAGTTGGAAGTCAGACGAAACTCAGTGAAAAATCTGTATTGATACGGAATACTTTGTGCTTTGAACCGTATTTCAATTAGCATGTAAGTGTGTGTGTCAATTCTATTGAAGAGATCAGGTGGAGTTCAAATGGCAGAATTAATTTGAAAAGTTCAGCTCTAACGTGGGGCCTTGTGTCTGCTTTGCTAAATCAAACTGTCAGCTGGTGAGTCCTGTTTGCTTCTGTTGCTTGTGAGCCTAGAAGTAACTGTGGAAGTAACTTCTCCCATAAGGAATTGTTGTAGTGCCTAGAATGGGATGTTTCGTTTTGTATTTGCATAAATAAATTATTCAAAACTACTATTTGCATATAAACCACACGACATAAATTAATCAGAAAAAGTGAAACAGTTATCTCCTCTTTCTCCTGAAGAAATTATTTTTATATATGCCTTACTGTTGTCCAAGTGGTTGGCCTTGATAATTTTTTCGGAGTAGTCGGATATACTGGAGCATTCAATCTAGGAAAAAAAGGAAGAGAGAAGAACAAGAGGATGAGTGATTACGTGTTAGAGATCTCAGCTATATGAATAAACCCAAAATCTACCGAAGGCAGCAAAGCCTCGACAGAGCATGTAACCATTGCTGAACAGTAAATCAAACCTGTGGGGGCAGGATCATAATCTATGATATCTTATATTTAAACTGAAGCCTGTGTTTGAGTTCAACTGGCTCATATAGAAAAAATTGATTTAAAAACTGTTAAATGGGAGAAAAGGGTGTCCTGACCTACAAAATTACACTTGGCCTCACTGAACTTGGTGAGGTTCACATGGGCCCACTCCTCCAGTCTGTCAAGGTCCCTCGGGATGGCATCCCTTCCCTCAAGTGTATCAACTGCATCACTCAGCTTCGTGTCATCTGCAAACTTGCTCAGTTCCACTATGTCATTATTGAAGATATTAAATAGTAGTGGTCCTGGTATGGACCCTTGAGGGACCCTTGAGTTTCTTCAACTGCATCTAGTTCTGTGTGTGTATTCTCATCTCTACTTTCATTTTACTTCTCAGTCTTCAATTTAATGCTGTGAATGTCTCCTCTTTTACTGGGGTGGTCTTCTACAACAGTCACCGCGTTCCCAGATTTCCTTTTCCCCTAAGCTATGTCCTCACCACCACCTTTTTATCCAAATCAGCTACCATCTGACATATGCCTTCATTTTGGGTTTAACTCCTCCTCCTTACCTACACTGTCTTGTTTGTCTGAAAATCCCACAGAATTCAGACAGTTCTACTGCAGAGACTGTCCTGAATTTTGCATGACGGAATGCAGCAGAGGGACTAAGGTTCCAAGGGATAACTGGGTGTATTTTTCTGTTCCTCACGCACCCCTCCCAAGCACCAAGAGCCACGTGCCTATGGAGATGCATCCACCTGGTATGAATTTGTAATTACGTAATTATTTAAGGTTTAGGCCCTTCTGACAAAAGGTGGGCCATTTCCTCCTGGCTGTGGGAGATGCAACAACCTGCCGTGGAGCCCTGGCTGTGGGAGATAAAACAACCTGCTGTGGAGCCACAGCCTATGTTGGTGAGCAACACGTCCCAATCTTATCTCTACATGTTTTACTACACCTCCCCAGTTAGAGGAACATCTTTGCGTCATCTACTGTTATCCTCCCACGACGGTCGGGTGTCAGAGCACATAAAGAAAGGATTAAAACGGAGGGGGCTGGTCTTGTTTGGCTGTTCCCCCCACCCAATCCCATAGCTATCTTCAACTACCTAAAAAGGGCTTGCAGAGAAAACAGTCGGTCTCGTCTCTGAAGTGCACAGTGACGGGACCAAAGGCA